GTTTACTGCCTGTTCTGTGGATTACTCTTTTGGATTACCTTGGATATATTGTTTGCCCCTGCCTGTCCGACCACGCTTTTAATAAAGCCTTGCAGATGGATCCTCAACTCTGTTGTCACGCCTCCGATGTTACAGAAGCAGACTCTGGAAGATCAGCTGAGACGTGATGAGACTCTGGAATGGCGGCCATTTTGTAGACAGGTTCTGGATTGGTAGCCATTTTATGATAAGTCCTTGTGTTGGCAGCCATTTTATGACAAGTCTCTGGAACGATGCCACGTTCCTCCTCAACAGCCCCGACAGTGAAAGACGAACCACTCATTTGCAGTGCAATGTCAATGTAATGTTCCAAAGTCCAGTTAGTTTCATGAAGTGGCATGAGGGAGCGGAGCGGTTCAGAAAGATATCATTCAACATAAAATGTCCATTGAAATCATGTTTGCCAATTCAATGAAGTCAGTAACATAGTCCTCAATTGACCGATCACTTTGACGAAAGGCGCATGATCTCCACTGCTGCTGATTCCATGTTGGTTGGACTGTAAACACCCAATAAAGCCGCTGGATCCGGGTATGGCTGATTATTCTGTAATGTCGGAGGCGTAACAACAGAGTTGAGGATCCAAGGCTTTATTAAAAGCGTGATCGGACAGGCAGGGTCAAAACACCTGCAAAACAATACATCCAAGGTAATCCAAAAGAGTAATCCACAGAACAGGCAGTAAACGATCACAAACCAGGTAAACAGTAGTGATGTTCGGTTCTTGAACGAATCATTCTTTTGAGCCGGTTCTCACAAATCGAACTGAATCAAACTTTAGAAGATTCTGATGAGTGAGTTGACGATACTCTGCAAGTCTGAGGAGCGTACTGGAAATATGCTTATTATGACTGTTATTAATTTACATTTTATTAAAACCTGCAAAAACCTTTCTGTCGAGTGATGTAAATAAATTTTACAATAGTTTATTGTGCATGCATTTTTTATTTAAAGTTGCTTAAGCGAAATCAAGGAGTTTATAAGACTGGTTTATTCATTCTTTATAGTGTAGACATGTAGAACATATCCGCGTTTGTGCATCAATGTCTGTAATGTGTGCTGTAGGTGTGAAACTTTTAGGAAACTTATCTAAGTTGTAGGCTAGTCAATATTGGTCAGTCAGTCGTATCTGACATAAAGGATCCGCGAATGAAACTGTGACCACAAACACCATTAACTTAAGTGAATTATTTGGCACTAATCATCAATTTGCTTTCACACAAATAACTTTATTATTTCAATATGTGTTGACACAAATTACTTATTTGAATTTTTCATTGAGTTGCGTAGAGAAATGCTTAGAGACGTTATTGCTTGATGACATCAGGAACCGTTGAATCTGATTTTTGAACTGGTTCAATGAGCCGATCTGTCCGAAAAGAACCGGTTTGCGGAAATGAATCGGACTTTGCAACACCAGTAAACAGTCCAAGAACAAAGCACGAAGTCAAGGCAGAAACTAGACAAGATATCAGGCTAACAATAATCAGCAATGTGTGTGTGTGGATGAGTGCAACCTTTACAGTGTCACAGATGGGAAACAGGTGTGGTGTGATAATGAGTTCCTAGGCAGGGGTTATGGGATATGGAGTCCGGAGAAAACAAAGATGAGACCTACTATCGTGACAATTGCATATGCATTCGTAGGAGATTCCCTTTCAGGCACAAAATTTTATGGGAGGAGAGTGTTTAAAAGAATAATGCAAGGTGATTTACTAAGGTTTGCAGTAGTCAATTTACTGGCATTTGCACCATTATGTAACACCCTGACAAAAAACATGTCACCTCATTTTGTGGTTGACATGCCTGCAAATAGTTGTTGTATTGCTCTTGGTAGATTGTGTTGGTCATTATGGATATGAGCTTACTGTGTCTGTGTTCTTTAATTTGCTTATTAATTCACCCGCAGAACTTTCCACTCCCATCAACGCTTTTATGGGATTTCAGTCTTGTGCTAATTTTGCCCTGTTTAGTAAATCTGGCTTTATCTTTGCTATTTAGTTGATACTCATTTTACAATAAAAAAATGGACATCATGGTCCTGTTCCAAAACCTTGTGCTCTGTCTGTACTATCTGAATAGCCAGGTAATTTAAACCCAATTGGACCTCACAAATGATTGATTTGGAATGCATTACATGCAATGGGTATAAAAAGTCTACACCACTTATAAAATGTAAACTTTTAAGTGAACCCAAGTAAAATCATGTCAGATCTTTTTCCACATTTAATGTAATACTGAAATCAACAAAATTCATGAATAAAAGGAAAATGCATTAATTTCAACGAATACTGTATTGAAACACTTTTTGATTTTAACAACAGCAGCCAGTCTTTTTAAATAAGACTATATCATCTTCTTGATTTTTTTTTTTACAATCTGAATAATAGTAGTAGTATTTAAGTACTTCTAGCATGCATAATAATAATAATAATAATACTAAAGATGGTGATGATAACAATAATACCTTGTGATGACGGCAACAGTAATATCAATAATAATAAAATTAATAATAATAATGAAATTTCCCATTGACTTGCTCCACCAGAGCTTCAAACGCCCCAGAACCCAAATTTATGACGAGAGACACAGCTCCGTTTTTCAGTGCCAGGTTGACATAGTCAGCAGATTTTCCAGTGTGCAGCATCAGTCCATTTCTCTGCAGTGTTTTGAATGACAGCGTGATTTCATCGCTGCTGCTTTGGATCGGGCTCAGAGAAAGGTCATAGCAGAAGTATTCTAAACCTTTAAATGTTGCCACATATTCTTCCATTTCTGAAAAAAAAGAAGAAAAAGACAAGTTAAAAACCTGACAACACTGTATGTGGAAGCATATAGGTAGCAAAATTCAATTTAAAATGCAATATGCAAAATGGCAATGCAATATTCAAAATGGCATTGTTTTTCTGTATTTAAATGTATATTTGGTTACACTTTACTTGAAGGGGTGTGCATAAGACTGACATGACACCTTCATAATCATGACATGACATGTCATGAATATGAAGGTTTTTTATGCATGTTTATGACAACTGTCATTAAGTGTCATTCGCTCAGTTATGTCATTTTTAATGCAAATATGACATTATTTGACCTAACCCTAACCTAACCCTACCCCTACCCTTACCCCTAACCATAGCCCATAACAAATACATCTCAAACGATGTCATCTTTGCATAAAAAATTACATAACTGAGCGAATGACACTTAATGACAGTTGTCATAAACATGCATACAACCGCCTTCATATTCATGACATGTGTCATGTCATGATTATGAAGGTGTCATGTCAGTCTTATGCACACCCCTTCAAGTAAAGTGTTACCGTATATTTTCCATTACCCATATGTGCAAAGTTTGTTGCAAAAGGAAAATTTAAATGTAATTATATGATTTACAAACCCGATTCCAAAAACGTTGGGACACTGTACAAATTGTGAATAAAAACAGAATGCAATGATGTGGAAGTTTCAAATTTCAATATTTTATTCAGAATACAACATAGATGACATGTCAAATGTTTAAATTGAGAAAATTTATAATTTTAAGGGAAAAATAAGTTGATTTTAAATTTCATGGCATCAACACATCTCAAAAAAGTTGGGACAAGGCCATGTTTAGCACTGTGTGGCATCCCCTCTTCTTTTTATAACAGTCTGCAAACGTCTGGGGACTGAGGAGACAAGTTGCTCAAGTTTAGGAATAGGAATGTTGTCCCATTCTTGTCTAATACAGGCTTCTAGTTGCTCAACTGTCTTAGGTCTTCTTTGTCGCATCTTCCTCTTTATGATGCACCAAATGTTTTCTATGGGTGAAAGATCCGGACTGCAGGCTGGCCATTTCAGTACCCGGATCCTTCTACGCAGCCATGATGTTGTAACTGATGCAGTATGTGGTCTGGCATTGTCATGTTGGAAAATGCAAGGTCTTCCCTGAAAGAGACGACGTCTGGATGGGAGCATATGTTGTTCTAGAACTTGGATATACCTTTCAGCATTGATGGTGCCTTACCAGATGTGTAAGCTGCCCATGCCACACGCACTCATGCAACCCCATACCATCAGAGATGCAGGCTTCTGAACCGAGCACTGATAACTCCCTTAAAATTATACATTTTCTCAGTTTAAACATTTGATATATCATCTATGTTGTATTCTGAATAAAATATTTAAATTTTTATGCACTGTAGATGATGATAACTTCAAACTCTCTGCAATTTTTCTTTGAGAAACTCCTTTCTGATATTGCTCCACTATTTTTTGCTGCAGCATTGGGGGAATTGGTGATCCTCTGCCCATCTTGACTTCTGAGAGACACTGCTACTCTGAGAGGCTCTTTTTATACCCAATCATGTTGCCAGTTGACCTAATAAGTTGCAAATTGGTCTTCCAGCTGTTCCTTATATGTACATTTAACTTTTCTGGCCTCTTATTGCTACCTGTCCCAACTTTTTTGGAATGTGTAGCTCTCATGAAATCCAAAATGAGCCAATATTTGGCATGACATTTCAAAATGTCTCACTTTCAACATTTGATATGTTATCTATATTCTATTGTGAATAAAATATAAGTTTATGAGATTTGTAAATTATTCCATTCCTTTTTTACTCACATTTTTTACTGTACATTTGCCATTTCCAACAGTAGTCTTAATATGTAAATTGCATGCAAATTTAAACGCTTTATAAGTTGCAAAATGAAAATGTATAACACAAATTCATATGTGTAACATGTTCAAGCAGAAATGGTAGCATAATGATCATTTAAATGCTATTTGTCCTAAATGCATTTAGACTAACAGTTAGAACACTTAGGATTGCATTTTCATCATGACGCGTGAGATATTTGTAGCAAAATTCAATTTGAAAATGCATTCCGAGCTGACCACGCCCACCCTCGTCAATCATTGCTTCAAGGCAGGGATTGGTGGAAGCGTGTTACGTTAGGATCGTTTGAAACATGGCGGCTGGAGATCTGATAAGATCATTGAATTCACTGGCAGATGAAGTGGAAGTAATGTAATGTCTATTTATAGTCTTTACACAGAAGCTTGGCTCCTTAAATGTTTAAACACCAGCTAATTTCAAGACGCTGACGTCACGTGGGTCACCCGCAGTGTAAGACGCTCAAAGCTCAAGACGTTCGGTTACGTTCGATCGGTCGTTTGAACGTTTGATTTTAGCATGGAATACGCTTCATATTACTTACTGATGCAGTAGCCTATTTAATGTGGGTGCGGTTCAGGTTGCGGTCTTTATGTCAAACGGTTCGGGTACAGAATTAAATTGGTGCTGGCTGCTGTCGGATAACGGGTTGGGTGTTCTGTTGTGTACTGTGGATGCAGGTTTACCTAACAGGACCCGTGCAGGACTTTAAACTGCTTTACATCTCTCCGTCAGATAACCTCACGTGCATGATGTGCCATTTACGGGTATTTCCCGATATTTCCCTAAACCGACACACAGCTCATATATTTTTGCGCCACGGGGTGAGAACGTAATGATTACGAAAACTATTATTTATTTTTGATAATTAATATTTTATTTCAGTTAGTTTTGCAATAACTGTTGTTAGTTTCGTTCCGTTTTAGTTTTTCATTTATTTAGATTTTTTTATTTTATTTCAGTTTATGAAAATGTTTTTTGAACAATCGTTTTCATCTTAGTTTTAGTTTACGAAAATAACCTTGATTCTCAGTGAGTGTTCCGGCGAGAGCCAAGCCCACAACTGGGCCAAGTCGATAACTGTCCCCAGAACAGCGACTCGCCTGCTGGGAGACAAACAACTCTTGGCTGAGTTGATTCTGAGCTCAAGAAGCTAAGGTGGCTGAGGAGCAGCGACCTGTGGGCACAGAGCTCGTGTTCTGTTCAGGCTAAAACTAGCCGGTCATCAAGGTAATTTATGATGCAGATTCCCGTTTGCTTCAGAGGGAAGAGAGGAGCCAGGGACAGTCCAATTGGAAGGACAGCAGGCTGGTAAGTCACCCCCTCCAACGCGAATCTCAAGAATGGTCTGTGATGGAGGGCTATTTGGATATGAAAGTAAGCATCTTTCAGATCCATTGATAAAAACCAGTCCCCTGGGCAAACCTGCACAAGCATCTTAAAGTCAACATCCTGAATGGCCACCTCATTAAGGCACGATTCAGGAGCCTGGGATCTTCCTGGGATGGCTTCCCAAGCCTGAAGCCAGGCGGCAAGGGGTCTGAAGTTGTTCAGGCATCAGGTTGCTGCACGGAGGCAGGGAAATGACCACTGAGATTTTGTGAAGAGGAGATGTGCTCTTTATAGCCAGTGGGTCCGCTATTGCAGCACTAGTCATTTTTAACTGGAAAAATTACTCTATTTTTGTGTTCTTGCATTATTGACAATCTATTTTCCTGTTTAACACTGTAAAGCTGCTTTGACACAACCAGTATTGTATACAGCGCTATACAAATAAAGGTGACTTGACTTGACTTGACTAGTTTGCTTGGGCATGAACAAAGTGAGAGGGAGGATCCCAGCGTTGACAGTGTGACCAAGCCTCCAACACCCAGAGCTGAATGGATCGGAAGGCAAACGCAAGACTTCTTTGATGAAAGTCCAGCCTCAGCGGGACATAACCCTCTCCTCTTCTGTCCTGACAGATCAGGACGGTGTCTGCAGCTCAGGCTCCAATGTCACTTTGGGGAGGGGGCCCTGGCGCTTAAGAAAGGGGTAGCACTTGGTAGGCTGAGGGCACTGTCAGAGCACAGGCTTTGGCTTGGACTAAGGCTGAGCGGGCAATAGGGCAGGCTTTTCCAGGCTGTTTAGTCGGTGGAGCCTTCTGGCGACTTGAAACAGCTGCTGAGCTGGAGCGCTCAGACAGGAAGTGGCACGTGCTCTGCGATGACTTCTGAGCTGCAGTAAAATGTTCTACGAAACCATCAACAGCAGGTCTGAACAGTCCAGAGTGGTAGACTGGTGAGTTGAGGAAGGCAGTCCTGTCTGCGCTGATGATCTCCGTCAGTGCTCAAGCACCACCAGACTGGCCACTGTCCTACCATTTGCCTGAACTGTGGCCTTTGTGGCACGCAGGAACTAAACAGGAACTGAACACAATGAAAATGAAACAAAAACAGAACATAATAGTAACACTAACATTATGAACACTATAAACATATAGCCTAGGCTATATGTTTATACAGAACGTGGATTTATTTCCAATCTTGAAAACAGAACAAGAATGAAAAACAAAGTTATAAAATATAATTTTAGCTGTAAAATTAGGCAATGTAACTTCTGTGTTTGGCTGACTGCATTTTAGTTTGATGATGAACAGGCTGCGATGTCAAGTTAGAAATGCTTGAACTGATATGTTGTGTATGATGCACCGGTGCAATCACTTGTCCTTATAAGCTAACATTGGAAACAAAATACTCCTGCATGTTTGGTTGTACAGGTAAGAGTAAGACATCATGTTCTGTTGTTTATGCTGCTATTTGCACATGTAAAACAAAACACTAATGTGGTGTGATAGATAGTGCTGCAGGACTTTTGATCTCCCCGCTTCCTGACATTGGACCAGGAAAACTAAATCTGCTATGTCAAGTTAGGGCATTGGATGCTTATGTCCATAGAGCTGCTCTATGGTGTATAACTGATCAATTGATTTTGTGCTTTGGGTCCCCTAGACGAGGGGCCCCAGCATCCAAGCAGAGAATGAGTAAGATTACCATTGGTCAAAGCCTCAGGATTCCCTGTTCACTTCCAGGTCGAGAACACTGTGTGCATCTGGCTGCCACTTCGTACCTGG